GAATGCCGTTGTAATCCCATGAAAAACGAGGGAAGGAGAAAAGAAAGTGGAGTCAGAATTTGTATTAAACACTAGCTGGACAGCAAACAGCAAACTGCTCTATCGTTATAGCATTTAAGGCCATTCCACTTGGTAGTGCAAAGGTTCATGGAGTTATTTTTTCTGGATTCAAGTTTTAATGGCAAGTATGTTGTTTCAATGGTTTTAGTTAACACTTTGAATGCTTGTCATGAAGAACTGCAACTGTAGCGGACAGATTGTTGCAATATGGTCACACTCATCTTGTCCCCAAGTTCCAGTGGTTCAATCTTATAGAAGAGATGAGAAGACAAACCGACATTTCAGTTGTAAAATCCTGCTGTTTGTTTTCTTGCATTTTTTTGAAAACCAATTCTTCAGTTCTCAGGGGGTACTGGTAAAATACACCAAAAGAGATATACCGTCCCCTCTTCCCCCTCCAGGATTATACAACCATTTCATATTCCATTTTTTGATGTCTAATCGCACTGGACAAGGTTAGAGGGGGGTTGAATCTGCAATACTTTAATCCAATGTTGTAAACAGATGCAGTCCTTGGATAGCAGCAGGCATTGTGCATGTGTGTATTTGGACAGGACCCCAAACGAGGAAAACTTAAGGGGGTTACAACCCCCTTAGAGACAACAGACTTCAGCTACAAGTAGACTGACAGCACTATTCTGCCTGTGTCCCTTGTAAGACGGCCAGAAAAAAGGGGGGTTGGTTTATTTTATTTTTTTAAGAAATTGGAGGAAAAAAACAACCCACCAATATGCTGTGTTTGACACATGCTCTTTCATGACCAATTGGACATTTTATTCTTTAGAAATAAGCATCTCATTTTCTCCGCCTTTCACTATGGTATAATTAGGTACCTTTAATTACTGATATAGCAATTAACCCAGAGATCCGATTATGTTCCTGTAGAACTATCGCTGGGGACCAATTGATAATTCATTGCTTTAAAAAAAAAAGAAAAGAAAAGAAAAAAAAAAGTGTTCTTTCCCCCCCCTAAGTTAGAATAGTTTTTTTCACTGAAGTCTTTAAGAAACTCTCAGCAGGATTCCACAAGGGGGCTTAGTGCACATGAAGCAGTTATGGAAATTACAGTCTTAACAGTGTAGGCATCTGCATGAGCACACACTAGGAGTAATGTCTGTCAAAAATGGGACATTACTCCACCTGTACCTTCGAGGCAACGGATAGGCAAAGCCACCGCCAGCACAAACAGTGACCGGAACAAAAAAATAGTTCAAAAAATAAAGAACTAACCGCAAACCAACAGCTTTACAGCCAAAAGTAACACACTAGCGACACACCAGTGTCCACAGAAGTCCATTACTAGCAACAAGGAACTATCAGGCAAGGTACAGAAAAAAACTAGGACTAGTAAGGACAACCAGACATCAATGTGCTGTTGTATATACAGTGGAGATATACAGACACATCAGGTACTGAAACATGAAGCACAGTATAGAGTAAAACTAAGCCTTCCCTCCGCCAGCATCTTTTGATTCCCAAAAGATTTCAAAACAGACTATGCTACATCTGCTAAGTACTATAAACTATATGCTGGGCTGGAATTGGACAGACAGCACGTCCTTAGTTGTTTTCCATTAGGAAATGTCAGCGATACAAACTACTTCCAGACTCAGTCGTCTCGGCCGTCTACAAATGTTATCCGCATCTTTGGGAGTTTGTTTTGCTGGACTTCAGAAACATAACTGTACAAGCAGGATACAAGCCTTTTCTTGTGGTAACCATTCTGCCGCCCGAATTAAAATATTCATTACGGATGCAGATTTCGGATGGACTGTTTTTTAAAACCTTAGTCTACCACCAGGTTTCTTCTCATTTACAAAGCCTGCCAGAGAACGTCTTCCTAACAAACATCTGGTAAAGGTAGGTGCTAGGCCTGTAAGAATGGTTACAGTTATGCACTGGGTCTAAGACTGGTAGGTAACTCTTTTCCCCTCCCTCCAATCTCAATTCTAGGTGGTTCGATAAAAGCAGATTAAATGCCTTTGTATGTCACTAGCCTGTTTGTCAGCCATTTAACTGCTGCAAAAGCATCCCCAGTACAGTACAATACAGTACAGACAGAAAGAACCAAAAACCCTAATGTGAAGAAATCAGGGGGGAAACAGAACTACAGAAAAATAAGTACAAAATTAAGAGTAAATAAAGATTAAAAACAGCAAACTGAAATCCAAATTAGTCGTGAACGTGAATGAAGAAACTTTAAGAAAAGTGTTAACATTATGAACTGTGCATCGTAAAGACTGAAGCGGAGATTAAACAAACTCCAAAGCATGCAGATCTCTCACTTACCACCATTTTTTAAGGGTATGATGCAATTGAGGGGGAAAAAAAAGAAGTCATAGTAACCGACAAATATCAATATAACTCAAAACCCTCATGCCAGATGACCTGCTCTAGTAACTTTAACTCGCTAGTACATGAAGCCAGTGGCCATAGAGAAAGGTATGAACATGCCTCATCATTCCATTCAGATATGTGCAAGTCAACAGAACTGGGCAGAGCTCCTGAAATACTGTGCCTTAGCCTTCAATTTTACAGCCAACTGCACAAAAGTCCTCATTTTGCAGGAATTTGCCTTTTAATCTGGAAAGGACCTACAAAGCCCAATCAACCATCTTTTACAGAATGCAAGATTAAAAGCAAACCTTGTTGGTAGGTAAAGTGATTATCTACTTAAAACTACCTGCAATAATAGATTTCTAAATTGAAAAATTCAGAATTGCTATAATCTACAGCTTTTTGTCTAAACTCAAAGCCCTTAACAGTACAGATAGTTGTAACAAGAGGGCCAAACACCACCCCCCCTCCCCTTAGAAACCTTAGCTAACTAGCTCGGCTACACTTGCCTATCGGCTGGTACCTGGCTTGCAGCACGTCACATCTGTTTCATGGGGCCCTCCTGGAAACAAACTCCATCCAATTTTTAATTTTCTTGCTTTTTCACTCCATCAACATTGATTTAAATGCAATTTTTACATTTAATATCTGGTATCAGCCAGTTAATTCAGCATTTGCTTAGTAAAATAATATTATAGGGTTCAAAATAATGTGTTACCTTTGGAACAAAATCACAGCGTTAACAGAGGATTTAGTATTAGATTAATCCTTTGCGGCCTCTTAAGATGCTACCATAAACATGGGCATTAAAAATGTAACATTTCTAATGTGCTTTCCTAGTTGCTCCAATTTAGGAATAAATAAGTATTATTAGAGGTATTATTAGAAGTACTAAAAAAAAAATAAAACAAAAGATGTTTGACAGCAATGTAACTAGCAAATATTTCCTCCAATACCCTTTGCTACAAATATTGTTTCATTTCATGCAATTCATAAGATACTATTTTAATCAACTGTTTCACTGAAATCAGTCTAGCAGGATGATGCAGAGAGAAGCAAGAGGATGAGAAAAATGTCTGTTAGACTGGGCAGTGTCACAGGGCAGCAATCAATCTTGCCCCATTTGAGATAGCTATGGGCTGAGTAGCCACCTTATGTCCAATTTCAACTCAAGAACTTAAAAAAAAATTAACAGCCAAGTTCTGAGTCACTTGGATGACTGGCTTTATTGTAAAACGTCATAGGAGGTTTATAAAACTGCTATGGAGACTGCCTGACATAAAACTGGGTTAATATTTTGCTTTTCTGGGAAAAGTAATAAAATAAGGGAGTTTGATGGGGATGCTGAACACTCCTTCCCAAGAACGGTCACACCAAGATTGTTTGCCCACTCAAGGCTCTGCAATTCTTGGCCTAAAAGTACTTCAGTGGCCCTTTAGTGACACACGGTCAACACTCAAAGGTTATCTGACTTACATATCATAGGATTATAGTGCATTCCTAAAAAGCTAATTGCAGGTATGCACACAAGTTTAAAACACTAAACCCTTTTTTGCTAACTGCCAAAAATCCTCTTGTTTTCCTAGGGCCAAGATTTAAGGCAATGTTTGCATCCACAAGAGGAGTTCACAGAAAGCCACTTATCATCGTGCTACAAGAAAAAGCAAGCAAATGGGGCCAAAGGTTTATAGGCTGCATAAAGTGTACAGAGCGTGCATACCAATGAGTTCACGTACCAATTATCAATCTGAAGTGGAATGAAGGCATAAAGTATATTTTTAAATTATGAATATCTGGCCAAGGTCAGTCAAATCAGGCTTGTAAGGAATTTTGCTCCTGTACTTGAATCTAACAAGCAAATGCTGGAGCTTGTGGCCACCACAGAAGTCAGGCTGTTTAGCTGTTGTGTGCTACAATAATCCTCAACTGCAGATGCAGTTAACTCCTATGCAATGCAATTTGTGTCTTAGTTTTCTCCCCTTCGTGAGATTACATGTGGGGGAGAAAGATGACGGTAGTAGAAACAAACCAAAAAAGGCAACAGTTTACCTTGTAACAAGTTAAGTGAAAAGCATTTTGTTCTTTAAATTACTTACAGTAATAGCAGTAGCATAAAAAGGCAAGGAAAAAAAAAGAATATTAGAAAGAATGGGGGGAAATGGAATGGGCCTGTTATACAGCTGGAGCAGAACTGTATTTATGGAAAGTCTACTTTGTATTAAACTGACAAATGAAAAGGGGGAAATGAGGAGGCACGTTATAGCAACTCTGCTTTCTCATGGCTTTAAAATAAAGATTAAGTAGAAAATGGATTTTGAAGTAAAAACCATTTACATTCTCTGATGGGAATGTAACCCCAAAGTTTTTACTTTCTACTTACCCCAGAACACACCCTTTTAAAACATGTATTTTCTAGCACAGGCTATTTAATCCAAGTACAATCACTTTCTTCATTTAAGAGTCTTTCGGATGTTATACAGAGGTCACAATGGCTGAGTACTAGGTCTGGCATTATAGTCTCAAAAAAAATAAGCAGCTTAAACTATATACCACAGAGGAATAAAGCTAT